AACTCTTGATAAGTAGTTAATCTAGAGTCTGCAACTGAAAAAAAAAAATCTATTTGTTTGGGTTAGGTCACCATATTAACACTACAAATACTTTGTCGTTTGGAGCAATGATAGAAAATTTGATTTTTTGATTATTAAATTAGTAGTTTCAAATATAAAAATATTTTTTTCTAATAAACAATATTAAAAATTTATTGAATAATGATAATAGTGATTGAGTCTGATTTTTAGTAATTTAGAAGTATCAGATTCAATCTATTCCGACACCTCTTAAGTGCTAATCACCCTTATCTTTTTAGGGACATATTCTAACCTAACTCAAGCCACGGTGAATAGCAACTGAGCTCGAGAGAATAGTCGACACAAATTTAGATACCCTGTAGGAAAAAAAAGGAAAAGAAAAGGGTTATACTGAATAATGAAAGTTTAATAATTTTTTTATGTTGTTAAATGTGTTGAGGCTTACACTTACTATTTCTTCGAACTAGGATACTAATCATCATAGTTCAAGCGAATTTAAAATTTGTTCCCTCATAAAAAAGGGTGATAGGCACTTTATAAAATATAAAAAATGTCAAACTCGAGATCTTTATATTACCGGAGGTCAAGATTAGTCACTCAACCACCCATAAAGAATTTAGAACAATTTAAGCATGTTACAATCAAACACTAGTGATCAAAATGGCATTGGCAATTGCCCACCCAGTCATTTAAATTTATCTTGACGCCTAACTATAGTTGGTGAAAGAAATGAATAAAGCACATTAAAGTAGTCATTTCATGAGCTGTGTCATGGAGAGCTGTCACCAAAGCTATGGTCCAAACCTTAATTAGTTACGAAAATTTATAACATACGCATGGACCGACAGATCCCATGTTTGCACTACAAAAAAGATATTTCAACTTTAGTGATTATTTTACAAAATAGTTTAATATATACACACAAATTTATAAATATAAAATTTTATGTTAGTATCTATGACATTTGTAATAAAATATTTTTTTTTTAATAATTAAGGATGTCTAGATTAGTTTGCACACACTTCGACTAGTCTCTTTCTCGGTCAGTCCCTTTTTCGGTCTAGTTAAAAACAAGTCATCTACACGGGACTATGGTATTCATGAAGGATAAATCCCTCACGACTCAATCTCAAAGAATTACCAAAATTTAAATTCAGGACCCAGAGAGTTATTAAAATTTTAATTCAGAACGTCTAACTTTACGCCTCATCTCTATTAACACTTGAACTACTTTTAAAATGATAATAAAGTAATCTCAACTAAATATCAACAAACCTTAAGCATTACACTCTCTCTCTCACACACACATTTGGAATTAAATAATTCCAACTAAAGATCAACAGACCCTAAACATAAACAAACCCCATCCCATCTCTCTCTCTCTCTCTCTCTCTCTCTCTCACACACACACACACTACATACATTATTTTTCTCTGGGTAGAGTCGGTGAAGGTTGGGGTGGTTAGAGAGGTGTAAAGTTAAAAGTCAGCATGTGAAGCCAAATAATATGTCGCAGTCTCCTAGATGATGATATTATACATATGATAGAAAAAGAAGTGCATTAGGACAGGTTCTTTGACTTCTTTCTAGCAGAAAACCTGGGTCCTGTTGCGCACGTGCCCTCCATGCGAGGTGAGGAGGTTAAGTTAAGATTTATTAAAATTCAAAATTCTTAAAACCCGAGAAATGTGACACGTGCTTGAAGATCGAAAACAAATCGAAGATAACTAACTCAGCTCATTCTTGATGATAAAATGTACACAAACCTTTTCATCTATGCTGGATATGAGAGAGGTAAGTATTAATTTCAGAAATGTGAGAGATAATAAGGTAAACAGTGTGCCTCCCTAGGTGCAAGTTAGGGTAGACAATAATCACGTCCATACTGATAAATCTGACTCGAATCTATTCTGCACGAGACCAACGCTGGCATTCTCCATAAGCATAACACAATACTAGCTTAATAAAACATAGATAACCCCCGAGGATAATGTAGTGATGATTAAGATGAATTGTAAATTCAGACATCTTAAATTTAAAATTGATAATTTTTTTAGGGTCAAACTATAAAGAATTTAGCCCGAACATCCCCTGACTATATTATAATAAATAAATAAAAATAGGTAACCCTAAACCTGCATAGGCCAAGCTGGGCTCGGCCGACAAATTTTTTTTCAAGCTAGACCTAATTAGGATAAGCCCAAATTCTTATTCGGATGAATTATCAGGCGTGCCGAACCAGGTTTTGGGTAGGGGTAGAGTAAGAGTAGGCTACCTGCAACCCAACCACCAATCATTGGGCCTGCCTAGTGTATGGGCTTTTTATATATAATTTCATTTACAAATAATAAATATTTTTGTCACTTAATATTTTTTGTAAATTATACTTTTAAATTAAAAGTACAGTCAAAATTGACAAAAAATAAATAATGAATAATTTTATTTATAAATCGGAAAGAAACTACATCATAATAGAATGAGCACATCTCAACTATGTTAGCATCTATCCAACTATCTATTATTTGCATAACTTTACCTTTTAAAACGTGCATGTTTAATACATGAAAAATAAAAGAATGCATTATTTATAATATCTAAATTTATAAAACTTCGAATTCTGGCATTGAGGGACTTGTTTCCATGTTTTGATTGGGCTGGGCTGGGCAAGCAAGTTCTTGGGTTGGGTTTTAATTGATTTTTTTTGGAACAGGCTATTGGGTCAAGTAATGGGTTTGGGGTAGACCTGAGCCCTCTCTTGAAGAATATTGGACTCGAACTAAGGCACAATAACTACCAGGCTTATTGGGTTTTGGGTCTATTTTTTCGGGCCAGATACGAAACCCGTGAACAATTCGGCCTATTAACACCCCTACTAAACCCACCAAAGTGTGAGTGGGCTTGCCATTTCATATCCCTAAACATCTTGGGCTGAGAAGAAAAGGCCACGCCCACTTCACGGCGACAAAACCAGTAAATCAGTTTATTCGGTAAAGAAACGAATGGAGACAGACATAAAGCAACTCTTTGTTCTTTTTTGCATGATCATTTTTAGACTTAATTTCAAAATATTAATATTAATAGTGTTTGGTTCAAAACAATATTAATAGTACGGGTTGAAAACAGATCAAATTTATTTTACACCCAACCTATCTTGAAATAACACATAACCAATCCAATCTATCCATTTACATACAAGTTTATCACTCCTTGTTCTCCCAAAAAAATTAAAAAATCCCAATTTGTTTGTCGGACTCAAATTTGTCATACATTGCAACTTAATTTTAATTTTTTATTTCAATACAATTGGTTATGTTGTGTTAAATTTATGTCGTGCTCGTGTTTGAAATCATGTAGTGCTAGAATTTACTCAACTCAAACCAAATCTATCTATATTCGTGTATAGACATATTCATGTTTAGCCAAATTAGTCTCTACTCAACTATTTGATCTATGTCCCTCTCAAACCCACTACGGGAAAATCCAAACACACTACTTCCGTCTCAATTCATATTAGCTTCCAATGTCGTGTCTAGAATTAACAAACCTACAAGAAAAAAAGAGATTACAATCTCAACAATGAACAGTTCCAGATATCTGCATAATTGTGAGCTTTTTCATGATTTCTGTTTGAATATTAAAAACCACAGCCCAGCTCATTTGACCATCACAATGAGATCATGCAGTTGGTACCACCCAGAAAAGAGACTTTGTACACACAAAAGATCATATGAAGGGCACAATACCAAATGTGGAACCTAAATGGAAGGAAATTAATAGACACAATTCACCTTTGTCGAACTCTTTTTCTGTCCTTCATTGGATTTTTATGTCGATTAGCTATTCCATGTCCAATCTTCATGGGCCGACCCAAGCCTTTCTTTACCATCACCAAGGACTGCAGTAAGAGATTGGAATCATCATTAACTGGTTTTTGATATCCTTGTGGAGCTTCAGTTGTGACATTCTCAGCATTTGGAAACTTTGCTGACAATGTCCGTTTACAAGGGTGAGGGCGAAAACTCCGAGGTTTCACAGGAGGATTACACAATGGTGACATATATAGGATGGAAGAGGAAGCCTTGTTGCCAGTGTCCTTGCAGCGTTTCTGATTAGCTTTCATGAAAATGTCTCTGAGGGCCAGTGCAGTTTTGTATTCGCGTGTTCTTTTTGAGTAGAAGACCAGGGCATTGTTGGCAAGCAAGAGCAAGTCTCGGAAGAGTTCTCCAGCTGATTTGATGGAGCCACTTGCAATTCTTGATCTTATTGTGTCAAAATCCATGTGCTGCTTGATGATCTTCCTGTATCTTGCCCTCTTCTGTTATGGATCATCATTATGAGTTAAATCCACAGATAAAACTACAAAGATTTTTGCAAGATTATAGTCATGGAGCAACAAATGTTGACATTACCTGACTATCGAGCTTATGTCGAAATACTAAGGCATTGTCATTCACAGCAACAGAGTAGAAAATCCCCAACAAATCGTCACTTCTTACCCCATACGAATCTTTGTTGTCACTGTCTAGACCAGAAGATCTGATAGTTCGACCACAGTCACTAACTGAAATTTCCTTGCATTGTGAAGTGGAAGCAACATTGGTTGAACCCACATTGTCGCTCTCTCCAATGCTCCCTTCTTTGGCAGCCCTCTTACAGTCCTTCCTTTTTCTTTTACCTCTCCTCTTCCGGACAGGCCCTTCTTGTTCATTATTAGCCTCCCCCGGCTTCTTTATGCATAAAAGATTCTCATGTTCACAAGATCCAGAAAACTCAGGCTTTCTCTCCATCTCTGCATTTGATTCTACTGGTGGAATCTGACATACAAGTGACCAGTTCGTCTGGGCATCTTGTGTGAAGCTGCCAGCAGATAGTCCATCTTTGGATGTCTCTTTAACCCAAAATTCAATGCCCTCAGATTTTAGTATAGGTACAGGTGATTCTGTTTGACTCGATCCATATTCAACCTGATCATAATGCTCTCTCTCAGTCTTAAGACTTTCAAGCTTTGATTTAAGAGACCTGAAACATAAAGCTTTGAACTTTTGAGTACTTTGTAATACATGAATTAGTGCAATTGTTAGGCCTATGGAGATTATATGTAATGCCAAAGGAAAACAATCTCTATGGACCATGTAGTAAAGAACAGCAAGGAGCACAAATAGGTACACATAAATCAGATGTATGCATTATCAACTAGTAACTTAACGCAGTGATTCTACTCAAGATCACACCAATTCATTCACCAAAATATTACTAGGACATGCTCTTCCAAGGTAGTGTAGCTCTGAGGCTCATAATACAATATTACAACACTATCTTTTGTGGCTATGTCCATCCTTTTTCCAAAAATTCATTTCTTTTTAACTTCAGATGATTAGCCAGCCTACAGAATCTCAAAAAGGGAAAATGAAAAGAGAAAAAGTCAAGAGGAAACCAGCAGCACCTTGAAAGCCAGGTAAAGAATTTACTAACCCAATGGAGTCTTCAGATTTCTCCAAATCCCGCTTCAACTCTGCCACTCGTCGCTTTCGTAGCTCTTCAAACCAAACACTAAAGAGTAAAGGTTATAAGCAAATCATTAGGTTGTAAGGTTGATTTCTGAAGGAGGAGTCCCAATAATTACTTATTTTCATCTGTATTCTTCATCCCAAAACAATTTACTGACTCAGATTTACTTGAGCCTAGATTTTGGAAGAAGTGGTGCAGACATGCCACTAGTTGATGAACTGTCATTAGATAACAACCTTGTATCAACAATGCCCACTACATGTCCCCCCATCTATATCAGGTAGCCAAAATACAAAATCAAATGAGTTCAAGAGAAAAATCTACTCACGAGCATCCAGAATAATGCTTTTGCAACTGTTCATACTTCGCTTTGCAGGCCTGCAATTAAAAATGGATTCTGGTTAATTTGACAAGGCCAGAAAAATAAACTTGGATTCAATCATAGGCAAGAAATAATGAAATAAGATTTAGTCATGGCAGAGGCATCCAACTTATGCCCAGTTAGCAAATAGGTAAAGACACCCCTAAACTATATAAATCAAATTTGGGTAGCTATAATATTTTGATTGGGATATAAGCTCTCTTCACACCCTCCCGCCTGTGCGACTTAGCTTGTTTGTGGGCTAACAAACCGAACTGCAACTAACAGACAAACATATAGGGAAATTCAAAATGACGAAAGACTTAGTCCACTGATCACCCAAGATCCAACTTAGATATTATTTCAAAAACATCCAACCCAAAGAAAATTGCTATGGGTGGAGAGCCCCCCTCAACCATATAAAACAAACTCGATGACCCTAATTTTTAAATGTAGGATACAAACTATCTCCACAAGTCACATATCACCATAATGACCGCATGAAATTGACTTTACTATAGGGAAGTCTCCCTAACATTGATACTGCACTATGACAAGTTAGCATATAACGATTTGCCAAAGAGTTATGACCAGCAACACAGTATTGGGCCAAATAAGCTGCTAGGCAATAGGGTCGGTAGTTTCGGTAGGGTGCTGTCATGAATATGGCTAGGAGATGATGTCATAAACAAAACCAACCTATCCAACTACTAAATTCCAATCAAACAGAAGTCAAATGTATGCTGAAGGAAAGAAAACAGAACCCAAGGATGGCATAGTAAATACCACTATGATTGATAGAAAACATGAGAAAAACCTAATAACTGGGAATAGAGCCATGGTTTAGTGAAATCAATATGAAACGAAACCACCAACTAAATTGTTTGCAGAACCCTAGTGTCAGATGGTGATTAAAACAAAAATCATCAGTGATAGACTATCTTCATTCAGAAAATTAACGTGAGCTGGAAATTGACCACCAAATTTTGCAGCTACTTTTTCATGCAATGAGCAGTTGAAATAAATTTGCAAACATTCACAATCTTTGCATCTGTAACAAAATTATTCAAGATACATGCAATAGTTTGAATGTAATGAATAATTTTTTTTGTAATGGGGGAAACAATAAATGGTTTTCCAATAATCTCTTTAGGTGTTGAAACTCGAATTTATTACTACCAGATAGTCATTTTTGAATTCCATCAAAGATTAAATAATAATAGGCCTTCAACAGTTTGATTAAATAGTCCAAAATAACGGGGGGGCATACACAGATTATGAGCCAACTTGTCCATAATGCACAAAACCGTGAACAATTACTATTTGTGGCACTAACATCCCAAGCCAAACTGGTCTTTGTTTGTGACCACAAAATAACCATCCATATGAAGGCCAAACCAATAAAGTAAACAAGGGTTGTTAAGATAATTAGTTATCAAACAGTTTTCTGTTGCCACTTATCTACCACCTTCATGTTCAATCATCTCTCTCTCTCTCTCTCTCTCTCTCTCTCTCTCTGCACACACGAGTCATGTGGCACATAACCAAATTTGGAGGGTGGTGGCACATCAATATGCTAACAATAGTCAATATTTTGTACCACCAGACTCTATCTTATGATAGGAACCCTAAGGGTGCATACAAAATTGTATCTGTTTCCAATTTTTTTTTTGGGCACAAGTCAATTTCCAAAGTTAGCACCTACAGAAATTTATGGTCTGGTTCCCACTTATACCACTTTAGACACTGAATCGGCCTCCACAACTATTAAATCACTATATTGCCTAAACTAAAAACTATGTTCACAAGTTTGACATCATGCAGCATGCTGTTTGGTAACCAAACCCAATGGAATGCAAGAAAAGGATTACCATACCCACATTTAGTGGGTAATCTAACTTTATGCAATACATTCCTCGCATAATTAAAGCTCTTTGTGACCCCCAAAATCAAAATTACATTGATGTGACCAAAGTGCACCCACTAGAACTAGAATATATTCATGTGCAGTTCATCTAATTTGATTGTTCCTTAACATATACTATTATGTAACCACCAAGTTATATGAACAACCATGCACATGTAGGTTGAACGCGAGAGTACTTATTTTGCTAGTATAACACCAAAGTCAAGGTGTACAAAAGCATAAACCAAATGATGTGACGGTACTATGGTCGAAAAAGTTTTGAATTTTAAATGCATAAAAGTGGGACACTTGGTCCTTATTTTTCGTTCCATAATAATAATGACCCCACAAAATCTAGCTATGCCCCACAAAAAAATGTCATTATATAATAATAGACTAAAGGAAACATGACTAATAACATTCCTAGGGGTATGGTCAATAACCTTCCAACCAAGGCAAACACCTAATTTAAAAATAATATTTTATAATTAAATAAAAGATTAAAACACAAGAGCAAACAAATAATGGAATAATTAATAATTATTAGACCTCTGGGGTGAAAATGTATATGGTCCGGGCTTGAAGCTCTAAAGCGACGACGTTCCAGTCTTGGGTACCGTGCCTCAAAACAGCGCCACCTAGGATTAGCTCCTCCCACGTGCCCCACCTCGTGCTATTGGGCCCCACCACCATGGACTCTTCTCCCATCTTCACGCTCCACGTGTAAGGCCACGATTGAAAATGACAAACACCCTACACACACCACCTCCTCCTCCTCCTCTAATAAGGCTTTCGAATTTCAAACTTTTTCTGCATACACACCCCGGCTCACGTTAGCAACCACCCTCCCTTAACAGAAAAGGATGAGACACCACCTATGTTTGGCAGCATAGAAAATTACCCAGAAGCAAACACAACCGGCTTAGATTAGCAAACATCCTTTACCTTTCACAGAAAAGGATGAAACACCACCTTTGATTGGTTGCCAAGAAAATTCCCCAGAAAAAAAAGAAGTGTAGACAAACAAAAAAAAAAATCTATAAAGGACGTTTTGGCTGTGCTGGGGATTGGAGTAGGCTGTTTTAAGGGTGGTTTGGGATTGAAGAGGGTGTTAACAAGGCGGTTTTGAGGGTGGTTTTGGGTGTTTGTTTTCTTTGTTGATAGTTTTCTGGGTATTTTGGGGGTTTATGAGCATGCGTGAGACAAAAGGGGTTGATGGATTCTATTTGCTTTTCAGATTGAATGAAAATGGTATAATTAATAACTGGATCGACATGGGTATCCACAGCGAGAAGCGTGGACGTTGAAGGGTGAGATATTGGTAGAAATATGTATGTATAGGTTTGAGTTTTCCTGGAAAATCTCTCTATCATTTCCCCTCTTTTTCTCTCTCCTTTCTTTCTCGTTCTCTCTGTGGGCAGCGGTTTCGCCTTTTTAAGCATCGTTAATTCTAATCACGCGTATGTCCCTGTGATTTTATAAAATGACAAGCAAGTCCCCATGTCATTTTAGTAACCCGCCTTTTTTGAGAAAATATTGGGTGTAACGTTCCACCACGGTATTATTGATACGCAGTGTGATCTTCCAATAATAAATTTACAAATAAACAAGTAAATCCCCTTTAGTTAATTATCAGTTTTATTGGTTAATACGAATTTAATTTAACACAGAATTCAAAAATAATACAATTAATTGACACAGATAATAAATATATCAAATTAAGATTTGATATGAATAACAAGATTAGCGGATACTATAAATAGAAAATAAATATTTAACGAATATTATAGACATAAAATAGGAATTTTATAATTTTTTAAATAATGTTATATGAGTTGTTGTCAGATTAAATAATTTTTTATTAAGATGAATATTGACATGAACCCGACACATATAAAAAATGACATGACACGAAAATAACACGATCAAAAGTGACGCGACACGACACGAAAATGACACGACTCGACACGATTAACATTCTTAATTAAATATTTGGGTAAATAGTCCCACGAATTTCACTCCACTTAAAACATGTAATTTTTTTTTATGAATACATATAAAGGGATACATGAATAGTTTATATACTAGGAAGCATGGATATGAATACGTGACATGTATACGATACGATACGGATACGGCGATACGATAAAACTTAAAAAAACAAGATACGGGGTACGACCAGAATACGTCTATAATAAAATATATTTTATATTTTACTATTATTTAACGACTTAGAAATTATAATTTTTCAATAATTCTTTAACATTTGTAAGTAAAATTAGGAATTTTTACCATGAAAAGAATGTAATATCGTCTCATTATGATATATTCATAAAATGAGCATGACCAATTGAAGGAATCATAACCACATTTAACTAGTTGGTTTGTTTACAAGTATTTATTTTTACAATTATAGTGCAAGTGACTCATTTTTTTTTACTCTCTTAACATGTAATAATAGATAATACTTAAAAAACACAATCGTGTTTTTTAAATCAGATGAAATTTTTTTGATATTTTATATTGTATGTGAACTCCAAAGAAAAGGATATAGCTTGAAATTAAAAATTGTATATCTTGTTCCATGTTTAAAAGTATATGTGAAGTATCTACATATTTTATTAATTATGAGATATAGATGATACATATTCGATACGTATTATCGAGTATTCGACGAGTATCGTATTTGATACAATATTCGATACGGGTATGTCAAAGTATCCATGTTTCATAGTTTATATATGATTTATCCAAAGTCATACAACTGTCGCAAAAGCCCCATAAATATATGTATATTTTGATATTTTATCCATCATCGTAATGTAGTTGTAATAGCCCAAAAAATTCAACAAGCTCAAGTCCGAATATCATCTCCAAAAGAGTCTAACATTTGAAAGAGTGGATAAAAAATATAAATTGAATATTTGTCAAATATACCAAAAATGTGGGCATTGGAAGATAGATATCGTATGTTTTAACTAAAATTTTTAATTTATCTTTTTCAAAGTAATAGAAATAATATTATACATTTATATCCATTTTCATTTTTTTTTCAGAGACCCCAGCCCCCCCCCCCCCCTCTTAATATATCCATTTATATTAGAACTTATTATAAAAATAAAAAATCAATTTTATGTGCAAATTAAAATCACAATTAAAAAAGTTGTAAATATATAAATCAAGTTCAATAAATGAAAAGTCTTAGGTTAAAAATCATAGTAAACTGCACGAAAAAATTACTGCAATCAATTGAGATAGTTGATCCACGATTAGAATTGAATGATTAGTTCCTACAACAAGAAACAAAGTCAGGAAGGGAGGCGGAGACGAAGCCGTGTCTGAGTTATCTCATCCAATGCTCAAGTCCGTAGGAACTTAAAGGGAGGATAAGGTTTTTATTGTTCTAGATTACCTACGAATGCATACCTAAGACTCCATTCAATGGGGTATTTATACTTTCATAGGATGGTATAGATGTCCGATCAAACCGATTGAGGGGAGCCTCATAATCACATTCACCAATGAGCTGTAACTCAGGGCGGTTCAAGATAATTTGAGACTTAAAATAGTATTTATAAATGAGATTTTTTATGTTTAGTATAAATTTATTTTTCTTACCTTTGAAATAAAAAAGTACTAATTAAGTTTTATATTCAAATTTTGTTATCATATTTTTTTGTCAATTAATAGTATCGTTAATTCAACTAATTTCTCTTTCGACATAATTGGTCATTTTTTGTTGGGTGTTGGCCAACTTGGCTTCTTAAGAGAGAGAGAGAGAGAGATTGATTTGTAAGTAATGATTTAATTTTATAAATTTTTTTTACCATTAATTTTTTTAATTTTTAATTTTTTGGATTTTTAATGTTTGGGTTGAATTATGGCCCTAAATGATTGAATTTAAATTATTTTTGATTGAATATGTGTTTTTATGATGTCTTTTTGTCGAGCTTAAAATATTTATGAATTTAATTTTTTTTCAAATAGGTTATTTAAGGTACCTCAAAATTTGGGGTCTTCCATAAAAATGAGGCCTAAAGCCCAAACTTTTTTATTTTTATTGTTGAGCTGCCTTTGTTGTAACTTCCTCGAACCGTGTAATGATTAGTTATCTCGGAGTGGCGAATATTCAATGCATATCATCTCAACATTTAATGATCTCTGCAATCATTTATTGAGCTACGCCGAATATTCATTAATTTGCTTATGATCATTAAATACACTTTCCTCCAAGATTGTTAGTGGCGAAAGTATTAGTGACGGAACTTATATCGTCACCAAAACCTAATGTTTAGTGGCGGAAATATATAATGGCCACTAACCCAAAATAATTAGTGTCAAGCTAAAAAAAATTGTTACTTATTTCATAAAATAGAGTGTTATTACTAACAATATTAACTCTGTCACTAAATTTGAGGGGAGAGAAATTTGGCGCCAAAAAAACAAAAAAGGGAAGTACTTTAGTGACAATTGATTTAATGTCGTCACTAAATAATCAATCAAATGAAAACTCTTTAGTCACGACTTGTCCATTAGTAACTATTTTTATGAACCAAGGTAGTATTATTGACAAAATTTAAATTGTTGCTAATAATCTGCTCACTAATTTGGGGGCAGAATTTTTTTGGCGCAAAAAATATGTTGGAGGGAAGAATTTAAGCGACAATTATTTTAATGTTGTTGATAAATAAGTAATCTACGCTCAACTATTTAGTGATGACTTAGCAATGATTGAGTCACTGTTGGTATGAACCAAAATGCTATTAGTGATGAATTCGAAATTGTCACTAATAATTTTATAATTAATTTTGAGGCAAAAAATTTTTGGTGCTAAAATGTGTTGGAGAGAAGCATTTTACCAACAAGTTTTTAAAGTTGACACTAAATAATCAATCTAACACCAATTATTTAGTGGCGATCTAACGTCAAGTCACTTTTTGCATAAACCAATGATGTACTAGTGATAAATATATTTTTGTCAATAATTATTTCTCTCACTTATTTTTATGAACTATGAAGTATTAGCGACAAATTTAAGTTTGTCACTTATAATTGTGTCAATCACTGTTATTAGAACTGGACTAGACTGTTAGGTCAGACTGGTGAACTAGGTCCTCCAACGATTCGGTTCACTAAAAAGATTGCTAGTATAATTAAATCGTTGAAAAATTAAATAATCGATCAATTTTGGCCAAAATCGATCAATTAAAACTCTTAAACCGTTAAGTTTAAAACTTAAACAAACTGACATCCGCTGTCACTTTTTGATGCTTGGAGGACAATTTTTGGCATCATCAGGGTCAACACTATTTTATGGACCTTGACCCTCCATGTACTTAAAATAAGCATGCAAATAAATAAATCGAATTAAAATTTATATTTGATCTGAATACAAACATGTATATAAATTCAAATTTAATTAATTAAATATAGATCGAAGTTTATTTTAGAATATTCGAATTTGAGTACGAATCATTTATAATGCGTACGAATCATTTAAATTTTGATATATCGAAACCTAGTTTGGTCAAATAATCTGAACCCATTATAATGTAATTAAACTGAATCCGAATCCGAATATGATTATGTTATTAATTAAATAATTTTGATCAAACTAAATTTCAATTTTTAAAGAGTACAGATATAGACATTGAAAATGAAATATACCGGGGTAACGGAATCGGAGTATTCAAATTGGATTTGTATTC